TCAAATGAATGAAGGTAATAGGAATCATCGTGATTAGCCATGAAAGTAGATGATCAAGGAATAAGAGAAAGAAAGATGATGAACGGAATCACAAAGCGAAATCAAAAAATATCTAATAATACCATATTGTAGTGTTATAGGTATTCATGGAGAAAAAAATACAATAATAATAATAATAAAGATGAGATTCAATTGATCAACATATGATACTTCCACATATATAAGTGTAGAAGCTCAATAATACAAATTAGTTACAATGCAACTAAATTACAACTAAATCAACAAATAAACTAATTTGCTTCTTAAGTAATTAACTACCAAAACTAACTATTGTAAAATATCTTAATAATTTTATTTTGGGTCTCTTTCAGGATTTTTTGGTTTTCTTTTTTTTTTCTTGCTTTCACTCCTATATTTTTCTTTGCATTTCTTTGGATGATTTCTCCTACTTCCGATTAGTTAAATATATTTGTTAAACATTTGAATTATAAATAAATAATTTTAAAACAAAAATCAAAAGATAAATTAATATTATTCATTGTTGTAAAAATATTTATTAATATTTAAAGACTTATTTTTTAAATAACCTTTGCGCTTTACAATTTTTAAAGTTAAAATAAAAATTCATTTTTTTTTTATAAAATTCTGAGATTTAGAAAAAAATTTTAAATGAGAAGTTAGTTAAAACAACTTCTCATTAAAAAAAATTAAAGACTCCTTCCTTTTGCGATTACCCATTATCATGTTTCTTATAATCTCAATGCTACCTTTTTGGAGTGGTTCACTGCTATCTATGCTCTTAATCAGTTATACAGTAGAAAACAACTTTAGAATGACATTGAAAATATGCAATTTCAGCAGTAGGGTGCTTGGTGCCTTATAGGTGACTTCAATAATGTTTTGAAAACTCAAGATAGAATTGGTGGAAAAATGGTGACTGAATCTGAGTATATTGATATGGCTAGAATGATGGATAATGTTGGTCTGTATGAAATGGATATTAGAGGGGACTACTACACTTGTTCTAACAAGCAGGTTGAGAGTATTATCTACTCTAGAATTGATAGATTGTTGGGTAACTGTCATACCTTAAATTTTTCCTAAGCATTCATTCATCGAAGCATTTGCATCTTAGTTCATTCATTCATTAATTAGTTTAATAAAAGTAAAAATTCAGGCAACTTTTATTCTGTTTTAAATTCAAAAACTGATTCAATTGCATGTCATGCATTTTCACTGCCTCGTGCATTGTTTTCCACCAAAAGCATCCTTCTCTTTTTATTTTAATAAATTAAATAAATGATTATTTCTAATTTTTTAACTCAAATTATCATTGTTCTAGTATTATTAATTCTATCATTTTATTAAATTATTAGAACTATGCACTACCAACCCAAAGCACCAAACACTACTACTAACCATCCAAACACCACCCAATGCACATAGAAATCGATTTAATAAATTTAAAACACACAATTCAATTAATTAAATAAATTATAAAAATGGGGTGTTACAACATGTACCAACCACCAATTAGGAAGTTTGAACGTGATGACACCGGATTGAGAAAATGCGAGTGTCCGTTTAAACTGTGTGACCGAGATATTTGGAGATGATTCTGTACTCGAATTCGGTGGAGGAACTTTAGGACACCCTTGGGGAAATGCACCTGGTGCCGTAGCGAACCGAGTAGCTCTGGAAGCATGTGTACAAGCTCGGAATGAGGGACGTGATCTTGCTCGCGAGGGTAATGCAATTATTCGTCAAGCTTGCAAATGGAGTCCTGAATTAGCTGCTGCTTGTGAAGTCCGGAAGAAAATCAAATTTGAATTCCCAGCAATGGATACTTTGTAATCCAGTAATAATAATTCGTTCTATTAATTTCCATTAAACTTGGCCTAATCTTTTACTAAAAAGATTGAGACGAATACTATACAGAATACGTGTTGTATCAATAAATGAATCCTATGGATCTTTCGGATTGATAGATTTTTTTCTAGTTCATTATTCTTTTTTGATTTGGAATATAATGAATTAAAATAGAAGTATTTTCTATTAATATTGACAACAGTGTATCAAACCAATATAATCTGATCGTAAATAAATGGGTCGATTGAGTCATGTCAGATAGGTTTTTTACTTCATCAAATGGTGGATTCGTTTTTTTTTTTTCATTGTAATTTAATGTCATTCATTGAAATTTAATGTAATATGTAACATTTGATTCTATTATTTATAGAATTTCATCTTTTTTTATTGCGATTGGATATAGACATTCTTATTTGTAATTGGATTAGGGTTACTAACTCAGTGGTAGAGTACTCGGCTTTTAAGTGCGACCCCATTTTTTACACATTTCTATGAACTAATTGGTTCATCCCTACCATCGGTAGGGTTTGTAAGACCACGACTGATTCAGAAAAGAATGAATGGAAAAAGCAACATGCCGTATCAACAGTGAATTCTAAAAAAATTTCATTCATATATGATCCGACCAATATTTTTCTTTGAATTGTTGGCTCGGAACAAATGAATTTTGTTGGGTTTAATTAATAAAGGGATAGAGCTTAGCTGCTCCAATTATAGGGAAACAAAAAGCAACGAGCTTTCATTTTTGATTTGAATGATTACCACATCTAATTATACGTTAAAAAAGAATTAGTGCTTGCTGTGGAAAAAAGTTTTTCCTACGAATGGATTAACGATTTTTGTTATGAGTCCTAATTATTAGCTATTCACCATTATTTTATGGAGTAGCAAGAAATGCGTAGAAGAAAGAATATATTGATAAAGATCTTATTTTTTTCCAAAATCAAAAGGGTGATTGGTCCAAAAAATAAAGGATTTCTAACTAGCTTGTTTGTCCTAGAAAAATGAGAAGGAACAAGCGATGGGAGATAGTCCATTAATGGGTTTTAAGTAAGGCGAGTTATACATGGAAATTTAATGTGGTTTTTGGTATACATAATCATACCTTGTCTCACAAACTATCCTTTCATCCCATCGTGTGTCGTCTTATTCCAGAGGAGAATGAACTTGTTTCAGACATGATATTAAACAATGTGGCGCCGAAAAATATACCTGCAACTTTAAAACATAAAAGACCTCAAAATATTTCAAATATCAAACAAGTATACAATGTGTGTGCCCGAAACAATTATGCGGTAAGAGGTCTAAGATCTCAAATGCAAAAACTTTTGAATTTTTTGGATGATGACCACTATGTTTCTAGGTACATATTTTGTGATGATGAAGTCATTCTTCGAGATATATTTTGGACTCTTTTATTCTTGCATGTTGTTCAACACATTTCTCATTGTACTCATAATTGATTCAACCTATAACACCAACAAGTATAAGTTTCCACTTCTAAAAATTGTTAGTGTTGCTTCTACAGAGAAGACTTTTTCAGTGGATTTTACATTTTTGAAATCCGAAAAAGAGGATAGTGTTACATGAGAATTGGAAATGTGAAAGACTGTGTTGAAGGACCAAGAAAACATGTCAAATGTAATTGTCACTGATCGCGACAACGCATTGATGAATTCAATTGAAAAGGTGTTTTCTACATCGTATTCATTACTTTATAAGTATCACATAATCAAAAATGTGAGAAGTCGACTAAAACATGTGGTAGGGACCAAACCTGGTGCGTTGTTGGAAAAGATAGTAGATGTCTGGAATGGTATAATAAATTATTCCATTGAAGATTTATATGTTAAATCTATAATACATTTCAGGAAGGTGTGTATGATTCATCCAAATTTTCTAAAAATATTTTGATAGTATTATTTTAGACCAAGTGAAGGAGAATATTGCTTGTGCTTGGACTAATCAGGTTAGACACTTTGGTAATACAACAACTAATAGAGTTGAATTTGCACATGCTACACTGAATAATTGGTTGAGAAATAGTAAAGGTGACTTTTTTCGAGATTTGGACGCCATGAACTAAATGCTCTGAAACCAACATAATAATATACAGACATCTTTTGGTTTGAGCATTTCTATGCTAGAACACCAATCAAAGAGAAGTTCCTTTATTCACAATTGGTTGGCAACATATCTCGAGCTGGATTGAATTTTATTTTTCACCAACCCAAGTGAGAATGTAAAACAAGTTCAAATAGCTCAAAGTATGATTGTACACTTAGAAAGACGTACGGTCTTCCATGTGTTTGTTTAATTGCAAAGTAAATGAAGGTCAATACATTAATACATATGAATTAGATTTACACTCACTAAAAGAAACATCGGTTTGATGAGAAGTGATCCAATAGAGGTTCATGAAATGATTTCCAAAATCATCAGCGTATGAAATATGGGACAAATTTTTCCTCTTATTAACCTTAGGATATGAAAAACGAAAGCTACTCCTTAATTTGTTGCAAATGAACAGAGTATATATTTATACAAGTGAATATCATATCATAAGTACAAATAAGTTCTTAAAAAAATAATCTGATCATTGCTCTGGTTTATAACAGAAATAAATTAGTTACTATCCAACTATATATTGAAATGTAAGTGAAGCATCAATAAGATAACATTACAAAACTTGATATTCTGATTCATTGCCAAATTAGTCATTAGTGAAAGTACAAAAGATGTATAAACTTCAAAGTAAACTCAATGAGGCTACAAATAAAGAGTAATGATGCTAAAATAAAATGCGAAATAACCAAATCTTACAAGCATACACAAATCCCGCCCCGTTCCCTCAAAAATCAAATGAAATAGAAAAGAAAGAAGAAGAAAAAACAAATAAAAGTAACAGAAAGAGGCAAGAATAGGAGATTGCATAATCTCTGTATCACTGTTCATAACTAAAAATAGCAAAAGAAAAAAACAACATCAAGACTCAAAAATTTGATAGATGCCCCCCAGATGAATTTCTCAATGTTCATCATCCCTGTACAACAGTTTAGGCCGGAGCAACAAAACACGTTATAAGTGAACTGTGAGCGCTCGTTATGCTCTTGATTTAGGAGAGAGAGCCTTCAGATCTTTTGTTTGAGAGTCACGTCAAGTATTCCAATAGATATTTTAGGAGTGTAATGTTCATCGGTATCCACTTCTTCAATTTCCTGGAGCAGGGTTATGTGATATTCAATGTTAATCATAATCAAGATACACTATTGATTTGACACGGTTTGTAAATATATTAAAAACGATAAGGATAAAATGAGTAGCAAAAGGAAAGCGAATTTTGACACAATTGCGGACGTGACATTGAGAATAAAGCAAATTCAGTCACCTGAACAACATCCTCTCCCCTGACGACTTGCCCAAACACAATAAGCTTCTCATTAAGATCTGGGATCGGTGCAGTTGTAATGAAGAGGTCAAATCCTTTGTTGGTGTGTTTGCCCTTGGATGTTCCAAGCATGAACGCTTCGTGTTTCATACTGGTGAATCAACACGATATCATTTAATCAGAAAACTATGCAACTAACTGGTAAATCATCACCAGAATGTCTATATCTCTATATATAAACAGAGAAAACCGGAAGAGTAAGAAAACCTTGTAGGTTGCTTTCCTCTTAAGTTCCAATCAGCTGCTCCTGTTCCTTGGCCATCCCCTGCCTGAATCACGTAGTGCTTAATTACGCGCTGAAAAAGCATCCCTTTGAAGTGCCCTTTTTGACTGCAGACAAATCATAGTTTAGGTTGGAAGAAAACACAACTACAGTCTACAATAACAAAAAAACAGTCTTAACACACTAAATTGGGTCAGCTACATGTACCAAACGACGCTATATTATTTTATCATATATCACATCTTTATTCAGCTCATTAATCTTAAGATATTTCTTAATAATTTCTAGTTTTTCTACGTCTTCTTCTGTCTTTAGTAATTTGACTACTCTCTCTATATGATCTATTCTCCATACTAAATAAAATCTACAAGTCTTCTCTCTACGTGTCAAAACCACATAATCCGGATCTCCACCATCTTTTCTACGATAGGAACTACCCCAACTCTCTCTAATGTTGTCATTTCTATGCCTATCATGCCTAGTCTTTCCACACATCTAAGCCCAACGCAACACCGCCATATTCACTAAGTTTCTTTTATTCTCATGTTGGTTCTTTACCGTCAACACTCCACCCCATACAACATCGTCGGTCTTACAGTTGTAAGATGAAATTTTCCTTGCAACTTGGGTGGGCACTTTTGCATCCCATAAAACACTTCTAATGAACAACCTACTAAATATATTGATACCAAAAAAAGTTTAGAAACATCACCCAACCCCAAAAGAGTTGTACCAAACAGAAAAGTTAGGGCTCATATCATGCAAGTGTTTGCCCCACAAACAGCCAATCTCTCAGACAACCAGAGGACGTGTTCATTTCAGGTAGTTATGACAGTATTATTATATATATGAGCAATTCAAAGTTGTAGAACTAAACTCTATATTCACAAGTCACAGCATTCACACTCACAAGTTATTGCAACGAATTAATCATCAATGTTATTTCAAAAAAACTAATGTTGAAAAATAGCACAGTATGCTTCGGCCTACTAAAGACATGAGATAATGTGAGATATTGCTATGGAATCTGGAGAGGGCTTTCAATTTCAAATTGTAAGGACCAAATTACATTTTAGCCAAGATTATAGAAAGAGAGGAAAAATGCTGTGAACATAACTTAGGATATTCTAACCACCCAACAAAGATCAAATTTCCACCTATTGTATATCACAAAAATATCTGAAGTTGACAAATTCTTCTACTCCAAGTCTAACCAGACCCAAAAAATTCAGCAGCTTCCATATTAAAAATTTGTAGGAAAAATAGTACTTACCATAAGTCGATAAATTCATCAACAGCTTCAGGAGCACTTTCCTTGTACAATTCTACTATTATCGACCCTTTAGAGGTATTTAAAACCTATAATCATGATTGAGTCAAAAAAAAAACCTATAATCATGAAAAAGAAATAAACCATGTGTAATAAGATAAAATTTCATATAACAATTTCAATTAACAAACATTCTAAACTTTGTTGAAGACTTATTTCACAAAAGAATTATTTAAAGAATTGAACTGCAGCAGTATGTTAAATGAAACTCACAGCATATTCAGGTAGCTCAGATTTCTTCGAGTCCGGAAAACTATTTTCAGCCTACAAAAGTATATTCACTTTGATAATAACTCTATATGGGAAAACCCAATCACACATGCATAATAGAAAGCCCTTTAGATAAAAGGGTGTATACACTTTGAAAGCATGTAAGATAACAAGAAAATACAGAAGGGCCGAGGAGCAGTGTAGCACCGACACCTCTGAAAAATGACGCGTCCGTGTCTGTGTCGGACACCGACACTCGTAATTACCTTTAATTTATTTATTTTTCAAATTATTATCAGTGTTGCCATGTCGGTGTCGTATTTGGGTGTCCGTGCTTCATAGCCAAGGAGTCGTGAAAAACCCTTTATATGCAATTAAAGATGTACCTCATCAGATATTGTCGAGTTATTTTCTAATTGCAATCTTGATCTGAAAACAGGTAAGAAATAAATTGTTAGGTAACAGATAATGACCTATATGAGAAAATGGAAACACTCCTGATGCAAACCAATAATCACCTTATCAGAAATCATATAACTAATGCTTGTCCGATCCAAACTCAACTTTAAAAAAATGCTGAAATACAATGAAAAAATGGAAACAATGTGCATGCCTAACAAAAAACACAAAATCTGCCAGAATTTGAGCGTAAACCAAAGTGACATCAGAGTAAAGCTAAAGGTTCAACCACCACAATAAACAGGGATAGTTCAATCAAGAATGCAGTAAAATAAAGCCTCTAAGCAACAAAATAAAACTTCCAGAAATTCCTCTATCCATGAAGCTAGAGCTCGAATCATGAGTTTCTAAGATATCTTTCATTGCATTTCTGTCTAAATCTATGAAACACAGACACCAGAAACACGACACCAACATTAACACATTGACACCGGTAATAATTTGAAAAATTGAATAAATTAAACATAATCACAAATGTCGGTGTCAGTTCCAGACACTGACACAGACACATTTTTTCGGAGGTGTCAATGCTACATAGGTCTAAGTCTAAATACACCGCATATCATCTCTCACACTAAGAAATCTCTTTCACGGCTATAACAAAAAACCTGCTACTAACCTGTTGGACCAATGTCTGTATGTAGCCAAAAGGAAAAAACCAACCAAGACAAGAATCAAAGCATAAAATATAATACTGGCCGCGCTAATGCGAGAAGGTCCCTTCTTCCTTTTGCTTTGCTGTAACAGAGCCTGAGGCTTGATCCTAGCCATTTAACCTAAAGGGCATCATCATAAACAAAAACAAGGATTAGAAACCAAAAATTCTACTCAATCAAAAGAAAAACATCATGATCAAAAAAAAAAAACTCAATTAATTTAATCCCAATATAATTCAAACCGTAATCAAATCAAAAACCAACAAAAACCCATTACACAAAATTTGAAATTTTCAACATATCTATGAATCTCAGGACTTTTACTAAAGAAATTTCATATAAACTAATCAAGAGAATTCCTATTCATATGATCTAAATTTTAATACAAGTTAAGATCCAACAAAATGGGGAGAGTTGAATCCACTAAGATTAGGGCAAAGGCAAAAACTTCAATAAGAAAAGATTAAGAAAAGGAAAGAAAAAACACATTAATTGATTATTAGAATCCAAAAATGGAATAAAGCAACTACCGAATTTCCTAGTTTAGGGGTAAAGAAAACAAGATAGAAAGAGATAGAACATACGAGATATTTTGCGGTGAAGTGAAGTGGAGTGAATGGATCGTAGAAGAAAGGAAGTTGGGTTTTTACGCAAGAGGGAAATCGACGCGCGTTTGTGCTTCGTTTCAACGATGAAATGGAGAAAATTGGTGTATAATATTGAAATCAAGACTCGGACTAGTTTTCCAATGTTGGGGTCACATTTTAACATTTTCTAAGGATTTACGGCAAGTTTTTTTTTTAATAGTTTTTATAATTTATATATCTTTGTTTAAAAAAAATTATAAAGAATTTTAAAAACAAATTTATAAATATAAAAGAGAACCAATGAGAATTTAATTTAAATAATTTTAATAAAATATTATTTTAAATATTTCATCGTTTTATTATAAATTTGTTTTACATATCAAAATTTTAAATTAAAAAAGTTGTTTCGAATAATTTTTCAAAAATTACATATCTTTTTGAAAAATTGTGTAATTTTGATTACAAGAGGGTGGTAATTCCTCACTCCATCCGAGGATTTGCGTTTTTGGTAAGAATCCACTTAAGGCGTTGTATTCTTTAATGACAATTTTAACCGTTTGTATTATATAAATTTCAACACGCATCATTTTAGATATCATCTCATAATACACTCACACTACTTTCTCACTCATTTGGTGACTTGTGTTAGGTGAGAATATGGATACTAAGAGGTCTAGAAGAGGGTTGAATATACCATTTTTCCTTAAGACAATTTAAAAAAAAAAAATTAAGTCCCATAAACGAAACCAGAGATTTTAAGAAGTGCAGAAGCAAAACACAAAAACAAGAGAGCTTTGAAGCATCTCAGTCAATTAAATCAAGTGAGTTAATACAAGATGTCATTAAGGACTTGATTTCTTCTAATGCAAGTCAATCACAAGACAACTAAAGTTGCTTTGAATAAAGTAATTTAAAAAATTCGCATAGATGTTCTATCAAGCCATAATTTGATTCATGATGATTATATAAGATCGATACACCACAGACATAAGCTTATACATGAAATCTATAAGCAAAGTCTATTTTATGGGGCATACAATCAAAGCAATTATGTAATTATGCAATATATGCAATAGCAATATTAATGGAAGCTAGAAAAATAAAGGAGTTGAGGAAAGGAGAAAAGATACACAAAGATATATAGTTATTTGGCGTTTGTCCTCGCTTTGCCTACTCCATTCTTCAATGATGTTGATTAACCACTGGAAAATAATGACGATCTTTAACTATTTTGATAAGTTCGATACGAGCATTTTGGTTACAACAAACTATCACACGATAATTCTTCTGTTGATGCAGATACTCAAACTGCTAACAAAAATAAGATCCCTCAAGATCCTGATCCAATAATCTCGTTATCCACAATAACTTGCTTCAAGTATTCGTGTGTGGCGATTCCCCTGGTTCCACCAATTTCTTGTCTGAATGATTGTCATTAATGGAGTATATATTGGACAACTTTCAACTTTGTCTACGAGCAATCTTCCTCCAACATCACAAAAAAATGACAACTTTTAACTCCACCTTACGGACCGTTGATACTTGATCTCGCCAAAGTCTTTCTTGAAGTATATTGAGAAACTCCCTTCTTGATCAATAACAAGGAAATCCAAACTGCATTCAAGAAATGATACATCACCTATTACAAAAAGAAAACTTCACACAAAAAATATTAGATATCCTAATGTACCACTAGTCTTCTTCATCTATTCAATCTTTATAGATGAAGGTCCTCAACAATGGGATAAACTAATGATGAAAATGATGAGCAGTTCCAGAATATCTCACAAACCAATCTAAAAGTACAAGGTGTTAGTCAAATGTTTAGATGAATGTGAATGATGAACACACACAAGATTCTCACAAATTTCTGGGTAAATAGGTATTGGCTTTCAATTGTTATCATGAGCTTGATTAATCATGATGAACACATAAGATTAATCAACTCACTCTCTCTAATTCACAAGCAACAACAACAAATTTCACAAGATTAAGATTCAATAAAGAGAAAGTGAATTTGACATTGATGACACTCAAGAAGTTATTCTAGAGAACAATATAAATATTCATAGTGACGGGTATAGACACACTAAGAACGAAAGAAAAAATTACATCTTTGTCTCTATGGGTTTCACCCATATGTTTCACTTATTACTTTCACCAAAGAAACAACTATTTAAATCAAGGATGGAAATGGGTCTTGTGAAGCTTTGATTCGAATCAAAGCCCAAATACAGATTCAAAAGGACAGTTGATTCAAATGAAGTTGTGATTTGAATCATGTTTATTTTGAGACTCTAATCAATTGGTCCAAAGGAAATCCTCAATTTTCTCACAACTTATGATTCGAATCTTGTTTTATAATTGATTCAAATCAAGTAACTAAAAATCCAAATTTAAGAGTTCTAACTTGTGATTCAAACAACGCTTGTTGAAGCGAAAAGTAGCAATTTGCTAGGCTAAAAAAAAGAATAATATCATTGACTAAAACTAACTCGATCAAACCTAACTCTTATTCAATTGAGCAAACAGGATTCTTAGTGGTACACAATGTAACACCCTAAACCCTGAGACATATATGTCACACCCTCATTTTCATCTTTAGCCTTTCATACCCTACATTCACCATATCATATATTGTTCTATTGCATATCGAGCATGTGGGTTCATAAGGTAAAGATTAGGTCGGTTTGTTGCTTTTCATTTCAAATAAGATAAATTGCCTATCTTGGGCTACATGGAAGAAAAGGTTCATCATCTAAGGTTTGATCTAAGATGGAAAGTCTACTCATGTAGATTCCTTCTATAGGAAGTTACTTGAAAAAAAACATTAGGATATTCAAGGGCAATATTCCTAATGAACATGAAGTGCAAGGCCTAATTCAAGACTTCATTCATTTCAAATTCAATGGCATAAGGGAGATATATCATTCCAAATTCAAAATTCATGAATTCAAGATTAGATTCAAGAATGTTACAAAAAAGAAATTTCATGACATTTGCAAAAATGTCACATTTGTTACAAAAGTTTCTAACTCTAAGCAATGCTTAGAAAATTAAGCTATTTCTAGTTGTAATTCAAGTTTCTAACTAATTTCATGTTATGGTACCCTTCATGCCTCATCAAATCTCCATTTGCTACATATAATTCATAACCCACAAATATCCAAGGAAAATAATTAAGGTTTAATTCAACATTAGAGCATTTCAAAAGCAAAACCATTTATGCTTATTCATGGGCAATTTCAAGGCATTTTTAAATTGATCCAAAACAGCCTCATGACCAACTAATTGCCAACCAAACAAACCAAGTCACAAAACTTGAGGAACTAGATCATGTTGGTTCACTTACATGCCAAAATTTAGAATTTCAAAATTCTGTCAAAGGGAGAGGCATGGACCACAAGTACAACTCAAGAACAAGTGAATAAAGGAGGGCAATCCAGAAAAAACAGCACTAGGAAAGTGCAGCAGCAAAAGCAAAAAAACAGCATGCTAGAAATGGAAAGAAAAGGGGGTTGCACCAAGAAAGTGGTAATAAGCATTTCCAAATGTAGAAATTCTGAAACTTGAGACATGTGCAAGCTCTATTGTTTTGGTATAGCAGCAAAAGTGCAGCAGAAAAGTAAGATTTCTAAAGGAAAAGGGTGCACCAAGAAAGTGGCATTGGATATTTCTAAGTGTAAAAATTCTGGAGTTTAAAGACATGTGCAAACCCTAATGCTTTGGGTATAAAAGAAAAGCAACAGCAGTAGAAAAAGACATTCACTACACATTGACATAGAGAGAGAGAGAGAGAGATTGAGAGCAAAAAGGCATTGAGAAAAAATCAGAAAAAGAGAGTAAGAGAAAACAAAGAAAAAAGAGTTTGAAAAGAAAGCCTTGAGAGAGCAAGAGAGGAACAAAAAACCAGAAGAAGGAGGTGAACCATAGAAGCATATCCAACAAAGGCCATTGGTGAAGGAAGATAGTAACTCCTGGGTATCCTTCCCTTCAAACCCTTATCTTTTTTATATTCTTGCATGTTTTATTTTCATGTGTTTTTTCTTGTGTTGTATACTGTAATAAGGTCTTGATATGACCAAAAAATATTGTAAAAGAACAAAGAAAAGAGAAAGAACATATGTTAGTTTTCATAGAGACATGAGTTGAAAATACTCATGTGTGCTGTCATGTTCTCTGGCAAGTTCGCCTAGCGAACTTTACCCCATTTCTCCTCTGTTTCTATTAAAAAAAGGCGTATTCTAGGCAAAACAGCATGAAGTTCGCCTAGCGAACTTCTTGATGTTTTCTTGCTGTTTCTGGGCAGCTTCGCTACATCCTTCGCCTAGCGAACTTCCCTTAATTTTTTCTAATTTTTTCCCAAAAAAATTTTTTTCAAGGAGTTCGTTTTTTTTTTTTTTTTGTGTTTTGTGTTGTTTCAAGCCGACTAACCCAATGTGGTTGCATGACCATCGTATGTGGATATTGTTACGGTCATTTTTTACTTTTGGTTTTAAAAAATATTTTCAAAAAATAAACTCTCGAT